AAAAGCAAGTGCTTCAACAAACTGTTTTTCTATATTAAATTCATTAGTTTTAGCATGAATTAAAGGTGAAAAACATGTAAATTGCCAAATTAGAAACACTTTTTAGAATTTCAATGGGAGCCATCAAAATTACGGCTTTGCGAATTCTAGTAGTTTAAGAATTCTGGGAGTCCTGGTGTTAAAGCTGTGATACATAACATTATAATTAGTTGATAATAACTTTAAGCAGATATTAAGATTAAGATTAGGGGATCTTTTATTCGTCCCACAGTCGGGAATCAGTGTTGAATCACCGGTTACAGAGAAGGAGGAATGAGGAGCAAACAGCACAAGATAAACAATAGCTCTATTATAAAACAAATATAATACAATCCCTAACAACATATCTAGCTTTAGCGTGATGAGGAACTTTATGTTGTTAGCCCCAACAGAAAGTGTATAAAAGTAAGTGATCCTTCAAAACAGTTTGGTTCTATGACTATTTTTGGCTAGTTAGAACAGTAGTTTAAGTTTGAGTGGTTTTAAAGTTAATTTCCCAGATTGACTTCAGTAAAAATAAAATGGCCGGTGATACATGAACAAGAGCAGACATAAGTGGTAGCACCTTTACGATGATTAAATATTAAATATTCATATTAATATTTCTTGATACAAACTGAAAATACATTATGTACTTTAAATCCTGCATTTGTGTTATTTCTTTACTAAAATTATAGCACCGTCTGTGTCAACACATTTTTTTCATGGGCTTGGTTAATTTGAATATGAAAGTAGGCTATAATCATAAATCTGTCTGCTGCAGAGGTGATCTCCTCATAATAAGAGTAGCAGTGGCAGTGGTCTGGGTTGAGCCCTTAACTAAGTCAGCGCTCTAATCCTCATGTGTGCTAAATGCCAGGCCAGCTGTTGACTGGGATTGGAAACATACTGCACACAGAAAATGACTGATTGAAGGTCTCTGCCAAGGGGAGGGCCACAGTCACATGCACAGTATCACCATAACCTCCCATACACTTACAGAGGGGCCACTGATGGGAAGGAACTTAATAATAATAATAATAATAATAATAATAATAATAATAATAATAATAATGCATCGGTTTTATATAGCACTTTTTTGGACACTCAAAGACGTTTCACATGTGTCATTATTCATTCACTCCATACACGGCCGTGATAAACTACTTCTGTAGCCACAGCTACCCTGGGGCACACTGACAGAAGTGAGACAACCAGTATGTGCCATCGGCCCCTCCGACCACCACCAACCATTCACACACACACCAGACTCATTCTAGGCAATGTGGGTGAAGTGACAGTTTGTAACTTTACAGCCCCAGCCGCCCCACTGTTGCATCATGTGCGCAGAGGTTAGTGTCTTGCCAAGGACACAACGACAGCAGACATCAGTGGGAGTCGATGGAGAAAGTCTTGTGGTGGGCGATGCAAAAGGAACCATGCTTCTTTCTATTAAGTGTAAAAAGTAAATTTCGTCATCTTGGCTTAGAAGGTTGTTTTGATAAGACCAAAAACTAATGATGCTAGTACTGCTTAATTACCTGACATGTTTCGGTAGACTTCTGCCTTCGTCAGAGGTGATGGTGTGACGCGAGTTTGAGCTTTTATACAGTTTTAATTCTGACATTCACTCTGAAATATTTCTTTTCATTGCAACAATTTCTATTTTTTTTAAAGTTGTTTAAAAATGTTTGTAAATGTGTATGATTTTATGTCCATGTAAAGCACTTTGGATTGCACTGAATGATTTGTGCTTTATAAATATACTTGATTAATTGAAGGTGAACGCCCCCTTGTCTCTGTGGATGATCAATCGCCTCTTGTATCCATCTTTTGTATTTGCACAGACCATTCACAGTGACGAGGGGGCTTTTACCTTGGCTCACACTTGGGAATCCCTTCTCCAGAAACCACAACGAGTCTGGGGATGCGGTCAGTTGGACGGATCTGTGAGATATGTCGGACTGACCGCATCCGGCAACACCGACTGATCAGAGTCGTCACACCATCACGTGTCACCTCTGACGAAGGCGGAAGTCTACCTCCAGAACATGTCAGGTAGTTAGTACTAACTTTCTTTCTTTTTTTATTAAAATAACCTCATAAGCCTTAATACTATACTTAAGTAAGTAAGTAATCTTTATTCATATTGCGCCTTTTCACAGACCAAGGTATTCAGAGTTCAGATATTTTTAAATTCTCTCCACACTGTGATAACGGAAGCAAGAACACACTGGTGCATCCAAGCCCCCTCCACCACCATCCATTCATTCACTTGTTACATTCATACCTACAGTATTGCACATGTTTTTACTGGTAGGGGAAACCGGAGCACTCGGAGGAAATCATAGCACCCTAAAAAAAAAAAAATCGAAACCCCCGGAGGAAACCTACACAGATAAGAGAAGAACTTGCAAACTCCACACACAAAAAGGCCCTGTTCGGGATTCGAACCCAGGACCTTCTTACTGAGAAGTGAGAGTGCTATCCTCTCAGCCACCGTGTCACCCATTGAGTCTTTACAAACAAAAGATTACTTATGTGTAAAATATTACATTTATTTCAATTTGAATATAGACATGCACCCTGTTTGTATTATTTCCTTTGCTTGGCCAAATTCGTTGATCATGGTTTGTATTATATTAGCCTGATGTGTTTAATATGAAAGCACCAACAGCACTAACAGAAGGAACTAAAACCCATAATGAGATAATGTAGCTGTAATTGTAATGCATTTTAACAGCTTTGTCAAATTAGTCCAGTTCTCAGGTCTCTGCACTGGCTTCCTGTGGCTCAGAGATTAGACTTTAAAGCAGTCTCTCCATCTGTGACATGTCAAATATGAACCAACTCGGACTCTGAGGAGCACAGGGACTGGTCTCCTCCTGTGAAAAATTCAGATGTACTGTATGTAGCTAAAATCTGGAACAATCTTCCTGAAAAATTTAAAAGAAGCTTCTTCTCTAACAAAGTTCAAATTCAATCCACACTTATATAGCACATTTCATAAACACCGTTTCCAAAGTGCTGCACAATAAAAGAGTAATGAAAACAAATCTATTGTTTTTTTATAGCGCTTTTTTTGGACACTCAAAGACGCTTCTCATGTCATTCTTTTACTCCATACACGGTGGTGATAAACTACTACTTTAGGCACACTGACAGAAGCGAGGCAACCAGTCTGTGCCATTGGCCCCTCCGACCACCACCAACCATTCACACACACACCAGACTCATTCTAGGCAATGGGGGTGAAGTGCCTCAGGACACAACAGCAGTTTGGCACTTTACAGCCGCAGCCGCCCCACTGTGGCTGGTGTTCCCAGAGGTTAAGTGCCTTGCCAAGGACACAACGACAGCAGACATCAGTGGGAGTCGATGGTGTCTACATATACATATATATATATATATATGAGGGTTCTGCGCAGAAAGATACCATCAAATTCCCTTGGATTGTGCCATCAACATATGTATATGCAATTATTATATGCTGTTACCTTTTCTGGAGTTTGATGGGCCCCCGGAAAATGGATAATTCAACTCTATACCCACCAAAGAGGAGTCAGTACCTCTTGTTTACAAGATTTCTCAATTTTGGACATGCCAGGCCGCCCCCAGGTAAAACTGATCAATCATTTAAATCTAGATCATCCCTGGGGGCTTTGGAACTTGTGTTTATACTACTTTTGGCTGGTGACATTGAAATAAATCCTGGTCCAGGCCTAGATGGACAACAGCAAGCAGGCCCAACAACTGAGCTAATCTGGCTACAACTACAGCTACCCTGGTTCTTACCTCAGTTGCCTGGGCTACAGCTAACCAGGCCTCCACCACCTGGGCTACAGCTATTCGGGCCTCCACCACCTGGGCTACAGCTACCTGGGCCTCCACCACCTGGGCTACAGCTACCCGGGCCTCCACCACCTGGGCTACAGCTATTCGGGCCTCCACCACCTGGGCTACAGCTACCTGGGCCTCCACCACCTGGGCTACAGCTACCTGGGCCTCCACCACCTGGGCTACAGCTACCCGGGCCTCCACCACCTGGGCTACAGCTATTCGGGCCTCCACCACCTGGGCTACAGCTATTCGGGCCTCCACCACCTGGGCTCCAACTACTCGGGCCTCCACCACCTGGGCTACATCTTCCCGGGCCTCCACCACCTGGGCTACATCTTCCCGGGCCTCCACCACCTGGGCTGCAGCTACCCGGGCCTCCACCACCTGGGCTACAGTTACCTGGGCCTCCACTACCTGGGCTACAGCTACCCGGGCCTCCACCACCTGGGCTACAGCTAACCGGGCCTCCTCCACCTGGGGTACAGGTGACTGACCCTCCATTACAAAAAAAGGTCAGAAATCCCATTTTCCAAAAACATCGGACTTCTAAGATATTTCACACACTTAATCAGGCAAAGATTATCTGGGATCCGCAAGCCAAACCAAAAGGCTTATTAGGTGGACACCTGAATATACGGAGTATGGCATCTAAACATGAAGAGCTTCAACATCTGCTCTGCAACTCGAACATTGACTTTCTGGGGCTTTCCGAAACCTGGTTAACACCCAACTCTCCAGACTCAGTGGTAACTATGCCGGAGTATAATGTCTACAGGAATGATAGGGAACATGGGAGGGGTGGAGGTGTTCTACTCTATGTTAAAAGCGCTCTAAAATGTAGACGAATAAATTGGCCGCAAGACATCCAGCTTGAGTGTGTTGGTGTAGAACTCTCTCTCTCCCCTGCAATGAATTTCATTATAATTTGTCTATATCGTAAACCATCTGCTAAATTGGACTTCTATGACAAGTTAAAACTTCTTCTTGATCATTTGGATATAAACAAAGAAATCATAATTATTGGAGATTTCAATATAAATTGGAATGATAAGAAAGTTCGAAAAAACCTGAAACAACTCACTGAACATTCTAATTTTAACCAGTTAATAGAACAACCTACTCGAATAACTTCACATTCAAAAACATTGATAGACTTGCTCTTTGTAAATAAACCTGAAAGAATCATCAAAACTTTTAACTTTGTGACTGGGTTGTCTGATCACAATGCTATCTTCTTCTCAAGAAAACTTTCAAAAAAACGTTTTGAAGACTCATATAGGCCAAATGTAAAAGACTCACCGAAAACCATTATTCCCAGAAGATCATTACCAAATCTTGTAGTAGCCTTGCAATGTACCGATTGGAACGAAATTACTCAAAGTGAGGATGTTGAAATTAGTACCTGTCTATTTCACAAGAAAATTAATGAAGTATTGTTAAACTTTACCAAAAAAGAAAGCCATAACAAAAAAAAGAGAAATCTATTACCATGGATAAATGACGAATGTAAAAAACTGATGAGAGACAGAGATAAGCAATTAAAGAAATATATCAAATCCTGCCTCATCACAGATAGGTATACATTTACCTCACTGAGAAATAAGGTTATTCAAAAAATGCGGAAAGCCAAAGCAACATTTTTTATGAATATTCTTTCTGAAGCAAATGAAAATCCCAAGAAGATCTGGCAAAATCTAAATAAATTAGCTGGGAAAGATGATAAAGCAAAACAGCAAGGAATTGAGCTAAAAATAAACAACATTTCTGTGTCGGATCCAGATATACTGACAAATGAATTTAATAACTATTTTGTCAACTCTGTCAGGGAAATAAGTGAGTTATTTGCATCCTCTGATTTGAAAACAAGGTCAATTGATCCCACACAGCCTGTCTTTCGTTTACGTGAAATAACAGGGCTAGAAGTTTCCAAAATTATTGGTTCACTAAAAAATTCAAAAGCCAAAGACATTCATGGTTTGGACACTCATCTTCTAAAATTATGCAAAGAGTCATTTATTGCACCAATAACACAAATGGTTAATTTGTCACTCAATCAGGGAGTTGTTCCATCCTCCTGGAAACTGGCCACAGTCGCTCCAATTTTTAAATCTGGTGACAGATCGCAAATATCCAATTATCGACCAATTTCTATACTTCCAGTTGTTTCCAAGATTGTTGAGAGATGGGTAGCAAATATTTTAAATGAACATCTGAACAATAGTTCATCTAGCTTGCATCCCATGCAATTTGGTTTTAGAGCAAACCATTCCACTGAATCAGCAAACAGCTTCTTTATAGAAAATGTAAAAAGTAAATTAGATATATATCCCTGTGTTGGTGCAGTGTTCCTTGATCTTAAAAAGGCATTTGACACTGTCAGCCATGAAATTCTGATAGCAAAATTAACAGACTTCAACTTCTCGCCAGAGGCCATTCAATGGATGAAATCATATTTAGCTTCACGAAAACAATGTGTACATATTGGCAGTGTAAAGTCATCAATCCAGGATGTCCCAGTCGGTGTGCCGCAAGGATCAATACTTGGCCCCCTATTATTCTCACTGTACATAAATGATCTTCCCAAAACATGTACTAATGTGAGTTTTCAAATGTATGCAGATGATGCTGTAATATATACTCATGCAAGGAGCGTTAAGGAAGCAGCTTCCATTCTGACCTCAACCATGGAACAAGTAAATGACTTTACTGTCCTTGTCGAGCTGGCTGGCCTTGGATAAACATTAGGTAACAGAGGTGTGGCTAATAAACAATGAATAGAATTGATTAAATAAAGAATTGAGTTGTAGTTTTTTATGTTTTCAAATTCAGGCAACTGACTTCAAATGATGAACGAAGCAGTCTGTTTGAGCAGGCAGGCCACCATCTGCTGCAAAGTGGTCAATAATTATTATGACCGGGTGAAGATGCCAGGTGCTTCTGTGGCCAAACCGCGCCAAGGCAAACACCAAAGACTTATTTGTATTTGTTTGTTGACAATATTAGGATCTACTGAAAAAACCTTATTAGTTATAGATTAGAGCGGGACTGATGTCTCTATGTAACATTTTGCGTTAATCTATGGACGTCCAGTTTCGTGTTGTTATTGTTGGCGATGAACCGATTTATTGAAAAAGAAATTACTTGACCTTGATCTTTCATCCCGTCACAAATATTGGTTTTCAGAGTCACTACGTGCTGACTTATTCTGTGCTTAACCCAACAAAATAAGTTAAAAAAATCATCTTGACTTGATGAATCTGGTGCCCCGATGTTTTGACTGCCTCACCTGGCTAAATTGTAACAATGTCACATCATGGATAGATTCACTTCGCAAAAAGAAAGAAATGTGCAACATGTTAAAATGCAATTCTAAAGAAACAGTGTCAATAGTAGTGCAGGTTTTCAGTCCTAATGCCGAATGTGACTTAAAAGTGACTTGTTGTACATTCTGACAGCCGGGGGATACAGTGCCCTGAAATACAGTTCGGAATATTCTCAGATTACGGTAAAAACCACACGATTTCAAACAACTATCACCTCATTTTATCATATTTAGCAGTGGTTATGTCAGGTCTTACGAAGACAACAGCGGTATAGAGATTTATATAAAGTTTATGAAAGAAGTTCCGCCCTGTGTCCGCCCTGGTCCCGCTTTGGAACGCACAAAACCGGTTTTTAACTGTTGTTGACCTGATTTGGCTGGAACTAAATACTCACTAATTCATTTATCAGTCCTCCGGAAAACAGCTTTTATAATGAACAGAAGAATACTTTGAAAATAATGTTCAATCCAATAAATAACACAAGGTAAAGGAATTCCCACTCGTTACAATCTCAGGTATGTTATTGACAGTAAATCTGAAAGAATCTGCTCCGAGAAGGGGATTTTGTATGACACTAAATTTAAAGTTTAAGTTTTCCCATTAGTGACTTCAATTATATCGGTGCTTTTCACAAAAATATGTAGAAAAAATTTAAGCTATCGAAAAATAATATTTACCAAAAAGAACTAAAATAAAAATAGCATAAATATTAGTGTCAAAAACAAAAAAAAAAAAATTCAAATGAGGTATTTTGATGCACAAGATTTAAAGCGCGAGATTTTAGTTTTGTTAGAATCCGTGAACACAAATTCTACAAAGTTGAAATAAGAAAAAGGTCTTAAACCAACGTCCACAGATTTAAAACCGAATGATCAAAAGCTCTGTTTTTTTCTCCTACCTCTTCATACATTGTCGCAGTGTTAGCATGTACTCCTCATCGTGTAGTCCAGGCTCATAATAGAGGCGTGTACTTAACGTCCCTGATTCAGCGATCTTTCAATCGCAGCCTGTTTTGGCACTTGTTGGAACAGCGGCAGAACGCAGAGCCCCTCCACTCCCGAAGACTCTGAGAATGATCTTCGATTCACTCTGACGCCCGACCACAATGGATTTCCTCACCCTGGAAGAGTTCACCACCGCATCAAGTACGTAACAGAAATGTGCTCACCGTTTGTCAGCGCTTTTAGAAATATGCAATTAACTACAAGATTAAAGTTTATTAACACCTGCAAAAAATGATGAAATGGGAAGTAATAATTGCTGAAATATAGAGTTTTTTTTAAAATCAATTATGGCACTTTCTGAGCAGGTTTTCCAAAGGACAAAGCCATTTATTCTTAATATAAATAACTTATATTTCCTCATTTTCCTTCCAAGGGAGACATTCTTTATTTGTTTTAGATCATATTGCTTGTCCCATCGGCAAATCTTGTTTCAAGGATCAGTCAAATTGTGCTCATATTAAACACATTTTTCCAAATTGAGCAATTGTTAACTTATTTTTCTCTTGATCACTTTTTGCAGTGTGTAGTTATTAAAATGTACTGGAGTACACAGGTTAAGTACTTGTTTACTCATGGGGTAATTCATGTATACAAATCTTTCTCTGTATATTTTTGTTCTATTTTATTGCGATATTGTATTCTGCTTTATTGCCTTCTTCTATGTATAAATATTAGAATGTAATTGATGATGAATGAAAAGGCAGAATGGAGCAACAGCACGCACACGGACACCTGCGTATGGCTGGCATTACGCGGGTCGTGTGCGTTATTGCTTCTGGACTTGTTACAACACTGCTATCCGTGCCATCACTTTCCACCTCAAAATGTGACATCTCACCTCCGTCAGACTGTTCTCATTCAATGTCTTGAAGCACTGTCAGGGCTTCATACCATGTACTTGCAGCTCTATTCATTCTGTACTCCTCTCAATTCAAAACTTTTTCTCTCTCCAAAATACTAAATAAAAAAAAACTCAAGTCCCTTTAGAGTCTAATGACAACATATTGATAAATTTTTATAAGGCGCGAAAAACCCCCGGGAAAGGTTACTATGACAACTGTCGCCCCTGTGCCATGTATCCCTATGGGGCAGCAGAAAGGGCTGTGGTTTAGAAAAGTTAAAATGTGTGTAAATCTTGTTTTCTTTACTTTTTACAAAACCAAAACACACCAAA